ACTTTACTCCCATTCACAATGCAAGTTTATTTATGCTGCATTTGGCATTCTATTTTAAGGGCTTATCTCTTTTTTACAATTAAAAATCTAATGTAAAAAAGAAATAAATCCTTAAAATAAAGAATGCCAAATGCAACTTTAAACATATTTACACACATTTGCAAGAAAATGTGTAAAAAATTTCTGGGCCGGGCTAACAATGATCACCCCTGCTTGCTACTTGCTATAGATAGATTGGGGCCCGTGAAAAGACATGCTAAAAGACCATTAGTTTTCATGGGACCTATTGTAGTATATGGAGGGCAACTTCTTGGCAGTATTTTTCTTTATTATTGAAAAATGATATATGATCAACCTTCACTTTTTATAGCTAAAACCCATTAGTGAATTTTTAAGCATCTCCACGAGGAGAAAAAAAATGTAAATAAAATTATGAAGGGCTTAGAATTTATTTTCAAAATAAACATAAATACTAATTAATATAGGAAAGTATGATTTAGGTGTATTATGGGAAAAAATAAAATTTTCTGAAGCCCCAATAAACAAGTAATATACAAACAATACAAAGAGATTAATTGCTTTGAGAATACAAGGCACCTACAATAATGGATATTTTTGTTTGTATTGTTTGTATATTAGATGCTATGCTTGTTGAGATGTAAATCGGGCAGCAGCATGGCCCATATATATATATATAGTATAATATAAATATAAATTATATAATAATATATAGTATATAATATATTAATAAAATAAATAATATTTTTCAATTTTATTATACTATTTTATTTAATTATTGTATATAAATACTTGTATAGATAAAAAATCATATAAAATAAAAATTTTAAGATTTTTTTCAATTTTTTAAATAAATAGCTTTGGCCCAATTCAAAGTTGGGTTGGGCCTAAGGCTCGGCCCATGAATCAGCCTGGCCCGTGGAATGGCACGACACGACATGGGCCCACACGGGCTCGGGCTGTGAGCCATGCTAAGCTGACCCTCCAAAATATCCCAGGGGAGGGAGGCCTGGCCTGGCCCGCACTTTGCGCGGGCCATGCCGTGTCGGCCCAGCATGACCCATTTTATACCTCTATATGCTTGTTTTGCTAAAAGAGCAAGATTAAAGTAGTTAAGGCCTTGTTTGGTTTGCGGGAATAGGGGCCTGGAATTGGAACCGGAATGGGCTATTGAGCTATTCCGATTCCAATTGTTTGGTTGAGTGGAATCAAAATCCCATTCTCATTCTTGCTGGAATGAAATTCCCCCATATGAGGGAATGGCCATTCTCTGCCCCTCTCCCTTGGGAATGAAATCCCATTCTTGCTTATTCCAATTTCCATTCCCATTCCTATTCCTGTTTGAACCAAACAGATTATGGGAATAGACCATTTCGATTCTGGCTGTGAACCATATAGACCCATTCCTAAAACCCAAACCCCTTTCTATGTTTTTATACAGTCTATCCCAATCCCAACCAACCCAAATGAATTTTTTTTCATTGTCTTTTGAGTGCTCTCACCAGAAATTGCATTGATACCTTCTCATATCTTCACACAATTTTTTTTGGAAGTTTGCCACACTTTCAGCAATGAAACTCCCCAGATTAAGGAAATCTATATTCCTTATGGATATCAGATTTGTGCCCCAAAGAGGACGAATCACATGCACATCTCAGAATGCAGTGGGAACATCTTTGATACTTGTCATAGGGAGATGTTCTCAATACATGAGTGGGAGGTGCTGTGGAACACTAATCTGATCTCTTCCTCATCATAGTGCCAATGATAGGCTTGTGTGGAGGTTCGAAAATTCAAGCATCTTCTCCATGGGGTCAGTGTATCATGTGGATTGTGGCGGTTGACTGGGTTGAAAGGGTGGATTATGATACAGGTGCCTGGAAATTGGTCTGGAATCTTAATGTGTCTGTAAAAATCAAGTTTTCGTTTGGAAAGCCCTCCATGAAGGTCTTGCTGTTCAAAATGCCCTGTTTAAGAAGAATCTTAGCCAAGTCAGCTTCTCATCCTCTCTGGTCTCTACCCTTCTTTTTGATACAATTGAGATATTAAACAAAACGAAAAAAAAGGCACACCTAATGCATCTACAAGAGTGATATAGTCCATAGCTCTATTGATCATAAACCGGAAGAGTTGATTTTGCCTCCATGACCTTCATTTGCTAATTAGTCCACCGCTTGATTCCCTTCCCTATAAATGTTAGTCTTAAGTATTATGTGTCAACGTTGGAACAAATCAGCTAACACACCAACGAATCAACCCTCAGTTGATATTAGTCTTTTAAAATTAATACTTATATCTTTGTCATTTGCATACATATATAACATGTATTTTTACATTAAATGATATAGCCATATATAGGGTAAGTATTATTTTTATCCCCCATTGAATTTTAGTCAAATAAATACAAAGATCTCCCCTCTATTAGTTTGGGGTCAAGCTATTTCTTCCACTTCTCTATTTAACATATTTAACATGCTTTCAGTTTTAGTGATGAAATAGTGCTTAATCTCATTTAAAACTTTTCAAACATGTTACTCTTTTAGCACCTTCTTATTCTTATTGTAGACAAAAATACTCTCATTTATACTTCTCAATAGTGCAAATTATTTTGTTCCATAATGTTAAGGCCGGAATAAAAAGTTGAAAATAATTTAAATAGAAAAAAATAAAATAGAAATCTGAAACGGTAAAGCTTTATATTTAGTGTTTGTAAATGGACCTATTTATCCATTTCAAAATATATATTTTGGAGGCAAATGCAATATTTTATTTTAAGGACGTTTTAATAAAATATTTATCAATATCTGACAAACATAAAAATGCAGGTCCCAGTCTTGAACTGGTAAATGTTAGGTCTATATTTAATCCACCTATCCTAAGATCCCCCACATAGCTACGAGACATAGAGTAATGATCTTTCTGCGTGGGCTCATGTTAGACTGGACTGACTACAAGCTACCTGAACCCTCAACCCAAGTCTAAGTTGAGTTAAAGGTCCAATTAGGGGTTTCAATTGGACTGAATTTGATATAATGTGAGTCCATTATAAATGGATTAGGTCCAATTCAATCTAATGAATGTTTTGGACCGATCTAATTCAATATTTGGATCGTTCAATCTGTTTAAATTTATTTTGATTTAGATTGCTTTCAACGCAAATTCGGTCCATTGATACATATATTCTTATCTTATATCAATGAATCAGATATTGGCTTAATCCAACCCAGTCCAATATAAATTTGTTACAGATGAATCAGATCCAATCCAATCCAATAAATATTTTAGACCAGATTGATCCAATCCAATATGTTTTATTGGTCCATCCAAATTGATTTTGGATTGGATGAGGTTCAATTCAAAACCGATCGATTAACACCCTTCCGTCCAGCTCGATTTTAAACACAAACATAATATAAAGCCCAAGCCCAACTCTGTACAAACGTTATTTGAATTGAGTTAGGCCCGCCTATATAAGTTGTAGCTTAGCACTTTTTCCCCTCTTTCATTTTATGGAAATGAGTTAATGAGATAGATACATTTTGTGAGTCTCAAAAATGTGCGCGGGTTGTATCACCAGACATTACTATTTTGTACTAGAAAAATGCATAATTGACGTGGGTATCCACCTCCCGATTGAGCACCTTTCTTTCTCTACATTGAGTCAATGTAGAATTTTTTGCTTTGGGTGGTGCTTATGATGCAAACCTGATCCACCATTATTAGGTGGATCCCATTTAGGTATCAAATTGTTCAATATCTGTGGATCAATCATCATGAATAGTCCATGGTGTGATGAGATTGAGTCTTTTATCTGGTCAAATCAAGTCACTCATCCGAGAGACTACTTTTTAAGTGAAATTGGCAGGAAGAGATTTGTTCCCATTTCATCATTTCAGGTCTTGCCCATTGCAGAATGGGGTTTGAAATGTCTGACCTAGACCCAGCCCCAACCCCAACCCCAGACCCAGATTGGAATGCCAAAGCTGGCTCATGTTGGGCTTTCTGTTACACTTGGTGGGACCAAAGTGGTTTGACTCGGTTTAGAAGGTCCAATCCTGAACTGGACCACATCTGAAAGTGTTCCAAAGCATTCTTACCCTAACACTGGCAACAAAAAATTGCAGATTAGGGGTCAGAATATGTTGTGTTTCTTTTATTAACAAAGGACCATTTGGGGGAGACCCAAAGCAAATTTCAATCCATTCCATGTCTGTGCTGAGTTTAGGAGACAAGACACAGTCTCTCTCCAGCAGTGATATCCTCCGGAATTCAGACCATACCATAGGACGTAGCTCATAAATAGTTAAGTACTTCTCACCAGAAACCCTTTACCACTTTCATCATCCTAATGGGCATGCTTTGAGAGTCTGGCCCACCAACAGATGGGCCTCATTTGGATCCTCTAATATTAATGAATATATAAAAAAAAAATTGCATCCAAAATCCAGAGAGCAGCTCACAGCTATTTCCGGGCTCCATTGTACTTTCCATATACCAATTTAGCCAAATCACAAGCCGGTGGATTCCTCCCTCCCTTAGGGTCAGGGCCCACTTTTTATGATGAAAAAATGACTGATGGGTGATCAACAGATTTATGTCCACGTGTATGGTTGATTGATGGGAGCATACAGACCTCAGTGACTCTTGAAGGATAGAAGATTTTCCTGATATTCTTTTGTGTGTCTCATTATTTTGAAAAGACAAGACTTTGTGGAGTGTTGCTGAGCTTCCATAGTTCTCTTGCATCAAAGAATGAAAAATGAGAAAACAATTGCAAAGCCCAAAGGTAGGCGTGCAAGGAAAATCAAAATAAAGAATTCCTGCTTTATTCACGTCTCAATAAGACATGTTCCATTAAAATAATATAAACCAAACCTTTCTATATTTATATAATTAAATCCTGGCCGTTGAAATAGTAGACCAAGTAGTACTTTCACTCTCTCAGTCAACAGAGTTCAGCTTTACTCCCCAAAAGGAATCTCTTCAAAGTTCAAAGGGCTCTCTCACCACTGGCAGAGCACACCCCAGTACTACTACCAACCCACCTTTCCCCTCTCTCTTGCACTCTCTCCTATTCTCTCATGGCGTCTCTGCAACTTTACTCTTTCTACATTTTCTTCTTCTCCTGCTTTTGTTTCTTTAACACCCTCTTTGGATCATCTTCAGACGTAGAGCTTGTACTGGGAAAGATCAAACCTTCACTCGAAGGAGGTGAAGAGAATATGTTGCTCTCTTCGTGGAACACTTCGGTTCCTCTCTGTCAATGGAGGGGACTCAAATGGATCTTCTCTAATGGCACCCCTCTTAAATGTGACGACGTCTCATCGCCTGAACGGACCAATGTTTCGCTGTTTAGAGACCCAGCTCTGCAACTTATATCTCTTCAGCTCCAGGGAGCTGGTCTCTCCGGCGAAATCCCCAGAGAAATCGGTGAGCTCTCGTCGTTGCAGAGTCTGTACCTTGGTGTTAACTCACTCAAAGGAAGCATCCCACTTGAGCTTGGGTATAGCTCTTTGCTCTCCGATATTGATTTAAGCGGTAATTTCTTAAATGGGTCTTTCCCTCCTTCGATCTGGAATCTCTGCGATAGGCTTGTTACACTTCGGCTTCACGGTAATAATCTTTCGGGTTCTCTTCCTCAACCTACACTACCCAACTCGACTTGTAGGGATTTACAGGTTTTGGATTTGGGAAACAACAGCTTTTCGGGAGAATTTCCGGAGTTTGTAACTAGATTTCATGCTCTAAAAGAGCTTGATCTTGGGAGTAATAAGTTTTCTGGTTCGATTTCGGAGAGTCTGACTGGATTAAGTCTTGAAAAATTGAATCTTTCTTACAATAATTTTTCTGGGGTTCTGCCCACTTTCGGGCACTCGAAGTTTGGAGCCGGGGTTTTTGAAGGAAATAATCCTGGGCTTTGTGGGTCTCCTCTGGAAGAATGCAGGGGAAGCTCCGGCCTGAGCTCCGGCGCCATTGCTGGAATTGTGATCGGACTGATGGCGGGCGCTGTGGTTTTGGCTTCAGTACTAATTGGGTATGTACAAGGGAAGAAGAGGAGGAACAGGGGAGGAGATGAAGATGAGATAGAGGAAGGAGAAGATGAGGTGAACGGTGGCGGTGGAGGTGGTGAAGGCAAGCTTCTATTGTTTCAGGGCGGCGAGCATTTAACATTAGAGGACGTATTGAACGCTACTGGTCAGGTAATGGAGAAAACGAACTATGGAACCGTTTATAAGGCTAAACTCGCTGATGGAGGAACCATTGCTCTCAGGCTGTTGAGAGAAGGTAGTTGCAAGGATAGAGGGTCATGTTTACCCGTGATAAGGCAACTTGGCCGAGTCCGCCATGAAAATCTTGTCGCACTCCGAGCTTTCTATCAGGGACAGAGAGGGGAGAAGCTCCTCATTTATGACTATCTCCCCAATAAGACTCTCCACGATCTTTTACATGGTAAGTTCATTCTTTAGCCATCTCTGCATAGTTTCATCCATTGATTTGTTTAGACTTCAGATTGAATGATTTTCTTTTCATTACACTGATAGGAATAGATGTTTTGCTGAATCTGTTCTTCTGTATTGTATGCATGATAAAAATAAGCCTGCTTAGCTTAGTTTACAGGAACTTGAAATTAAGGTTTTTGTACAGAGTTGATCTTGCAGGATTATAGAAAACCAAACTAAAGAATTTCACAACTTTTGTTTGATTATAACCTGTTTGTTGGTCCAAATCAGAAACCAGAGCTGGGAAGCCAATGTTGAACTGGCCTCGTCGGCACAAAATTGCACTTGGAATAGCTAGAGGACTTGCGTATCTGCATACAGGCATGGAAGTACCCATAACCCACGGCAATGTGAGAACAAAAAATGTCCTCGTAGATGATTTCTTTGTGGCCAGGCTGACTGAATTCGGGCTAGACAAGCTAATGGTACCTTCAGTTGCAGACGAAATAGTTGCAGCTGCAAAGATTGATGGCTACAAGGCTCCTGAGCTACAGAGGATGAAGAAGTGCAATTCAAGGACAGATGTATATGCGTTTGGGATACTTCTGTTGGAGATTTTGATGGGGAAGAAGCCTGGTAAAGACATCCGTAGTGGGGAATTTGTGGACCTACCTTCATTGGTGAAGGTGGCAGTGTTGGAGGAGACGACAATGGAGGTTTTCGACGTGGAGGTGTTGAAGGGAATCAGGAGTCCAATGGAGGATGGCTTGGTTCAGGCATTAAAACTTGCAATGGGTTGCTGTGCTCCAGTGGCTTCGGTCAGACCTACAATGGATGAAGTTGTTAAACAGTTGGAAGAGAACAGACCCAGGAACAGGTCTGCTTTGTATAGCCCAACTGAAACAAGGAGTGAAATAGGTACTCCTTTTTAAGCTTTCTTTCACTAAATTTCAACATATCTTGAGTTTCTTTCATTCTCTCCAATGAAAAAAGCTTGGTGATGATGCTTTATGAATTAAAGTTGTGTTTCTCTAAATGGGGGAACTGCTACATAACCTTGTTCTAGTTCAATGGCATTTCCCCTTGAATTAGTGAGTTGTAATGTTATTGACTGTTAGAAAGTTCCATACAGTACTTGCATATGCATAGCAAGAGCCATCTTTTGCTCCAAACTCACTTTACAGAAACTAAATACAAGTTTCAAGCAGAAAAAAGCTAGGACAATTTTGACAATTTCAATGAATTCATGATACTAAATAGAAGTGTTGTTGCCCATAAACTTCAATGTCGGCAAGGGTATCAATGGGCAATACCTCTGACTATGATTCTATGAGATATCTGAGATGACCCCAAATAACATGCATCTGCGTTTCAAGTATGGTGGTGATGTTTTGTGAATTAAAGTTGTATTTCTCTAAATGGGGGGAAGTGCTACATAATCTTGTTCCAATTCAATGGCATTTCCCTTTGAATTAGTAAGCTGTAATGTCAATGAGTGTTAACTGAGTAAGGAGTCCTGTTGCTCCAAACCCACTTCACAGAAATGAAATAGAAATTGCAAGCACGAAAAACTACAACAATTTCAATGAATCAATGGCAACAAATACAAGTGTTTGGCTTGAAACTTCAATGACAGTAAGTGTCCAGGATCCAGGTGAATCAATGGGCAATACATCTGAGATGACCCAACTGACATGCATTTGTGTTTCAAGTTCTTTTCTGTCAGGGAATGATCCAGAAAAAAGAAAAAAAAAAGGGTCCTTCTGTCAGGTCAGTATCATGATTCCTGGACTGAATAATTTCATAATGAAAAGATTGGACAATTTTATCATGTAAAGAATGGATACATGGGTAGTAGTGGAATTGGGATTTGGGGAGATTGGAGACACTATAAACCATGATTGAAGGTTTTATCTGTACGATTTGTAATCTTCCCATATACAGTGGAAGCTTTTGGGGTTTCTTTGCCCGCAGCAGCTGCTAAAATCTGACCTTTTTTCTGTTGTTTTTATTCCATTGTTTTACACAATGCTGGAACCTATCCATTTGTGCTTCTGTATGGCGACAACCCTTATTGTCTATTCAAGGTACATTGTCAAAATCAGAGTGAATTTGTGGATTTACGAGGGAAAGCTTCCAAGATTTGGTTGTTTTTAAATCTTGGAAAGCTGCGAAAGCGAAATGCCTTGGTTTTGTGAACTGGAGTTATTTGGCAAGTCGGTGACAAGCGGGGTGGCCACTGGTGAGGAAAGCAGAAAGCTCAGAGCTGAAATGATCTTTTAGTCTGCACATGAAGATTACAGCATGGTAGCTTGCTTGCCTCGTGTCTGCCCATCCAGCAAGTTGTGCCATGGGCTGTGTACACCCGATGCAATGAAAGAAACCCATAATGAGATTTTATTTTATGATTCAAGGGCTGGCATTTGGAAGCGTTGTAATAATTGATGTAAATCTCATCAAGCATTAAGTTTTCTATTGATGTAAAACTTTACACTCTTTCATCTTAAAAAGTCACTTTTATGGTTCAGTGTAAAACATTATCAGTAATGACGTTTTCCACTCATTCCAAACGCAGGCAAGGGAATTTAGGGGAAGCCTCAATTGAAGATCAGTGGGTTTTTATTTTATTTTATTTTTTGATTTAATTTACCGCAATCTTAATCGATTTGATCAAGCCATCCTGCTTTTAACTTTTAACAGAACCAGAGGAAAAATTTTGAAAGCAATACTTCGTAAAAAAAAAAAAAAACTACATTCGTTGTGATCAATTTTAGTTTGTGGTTTTGTGGATTTTACTTGGCTCAACCGACTCCGGATCTCCTGCCCATGTCTACCCACAACATACTATCTCACTATCTCCCATGAATTGGGAACATCTCCCCCTGCATAATACTTGTAGAAGTTGAGATGTTCTTCATGTGTGATTGCGATAAACGTTGGCAGGAGTAAGGTTCAAAATATCGATACGCCTAATATGTCGGTAGGGGTGTATCAGGTGATATCAATACTTTCTTTTTACTTTTTTTTTTTCAAAACCAGTTCAGGGGGGGCGGTTTGAGGCTCCACCCCGTGAACTGGTCAGAACCCCGATACACCCTTTGTAGCGGCGATATCGGTCGATACAGGCCGATACGTGTCGATATTTTGAACCTTGGACAGGAGATCTGAACTCGGTTAAACCTTGTGTGACTAAGGTTACATTTGGAATCAGTGTAAAACATTGTTTTCAAAACCGGACTGGACCGGAAAAATCGGGAACCGGTCATCTGATTGGTTTCATTTTCCTCCAAAACCGCTTTTTACCCCAAAACCGTTGATTTTGGTCATCAAATCACTGAACTGGCCGATTAACCATTCGAACGGTTTTGACCATTTTCCAAATTTTTAAATTATTTTTTAAATTATTTATTTATTTTTAGAACGGGCTGATCATTCGGGTTAAACAGATGGACCGTTCGAACCGGTAACTAGACCCCTGACCGGTTCGATCACTGGTTCGTTTTTAAACACCATAGTGTAAAATGTCATCGGTATAAAAATACATGGGATTGGAGAAGTCACATAGATGATTAAAAATTAACCAAAAACAAAAAAAAACATCCCAATTAGACAATTAAATGGAAAGCTATAGTTTATGAAAGTTTACATTTGTGTTTAAAAAATTTTAGAAAAATCATTTGGATTTCTGAAATTGGGACTGGTTCACCATTTTTCTGGTTGGACCATCTGGATTAACGGTTTTGTCTGTTTTCTTTTTAGCACATCCCAGTTTTGGGGGTACGAGTGAACTGGCCAGAGGCCCAGGCACAGTTCAACAGGGCCGACCGGCCAATCTGGTTCGATTTTCTAAACATTGGCAGAAAATCACATATGGAGTTGTAATTGAAGCTGATTTCTTTTGTCCCAAGTAATGCAAAACCATTATTTTAAACTTGGGGCATCCCAGTTCATAAAAAAATCAGGGCTAACAATTTCCTCTACTACTGATTTTTTAGGTATTGATCTTATCAAATAGGATTTTTCACACAATTCAAGGAACCATTTTTTTGGTAAACTGAAATTCATTAAACAGAACAACCAAGAAAACAAACAACAATACAAACAAGCAAAAAAAAAAAAAAAAAAAACTTCAGCTAAAGAGCAATCAGAAAAGAAAGAGTCAACTAACCAAAATGGACAAGAGTCTACCCACAGATCAGACAAAGCTAACCCTTTTGAGCTAGAAAATGGGCCAATCTCTCTCTCTCTATATTGGTTCGACTATAACATCGAAAAGATATGATATCGAAAAACAACTGACCAATATATTGGAATCATAAATGTGGTAGTGAAAGGTGTTATTTATAAAAATTCATGGGTAGGTTTTGATTGATCAAAACTCTTTTCATATTGTATCTTTCCCATATTATAGATTTTTCCTATATATCAACAAAAGAGTAAGAAACATAAAAGTCTACCTTAAAGCAATCGAGAATGTTTGTAATTTGCAGCGCTAGAGAGCCAAGGAAAGAGTATAAATACAAATATAAACAGTATAAATACATATAAAATAATACAAAATACAAGATTTTACACTCTACATATTTATATTTGTATTCCTTCCAGACAGAGCTTAAGATTCAGTTTGGAAGGAGTATAAATGCAAATATATAGAGTGTAAAACCTTATATTTTATATTAATTTATTTGCATTTGAATTGTACATATTTGTATTTGTACTCTTCTGAAACTGAATTTAGAAGTTATCGCTCTCCAAAATCACCTTTGAAAAGTTCAACAACTTAGCAAAACAAAAACCTTCAAAACAGTCAACATTTCGGGGAATCGGGGAATCACTTGCTCCCCAAATGTTTGCACTTTGCAGCAAAAACTCACATATGGGCTTGTAATTGAAGCTGGTTTCAAGCTGCAAGTCGTTAGGGCCCTAGAGCCTAAACCATTATCTGTAGTAAATGGCCTAATAAGTGCGGAGCCTGGACCAATGGACCAGCTACATAATTTGGGCGAAGTCTGAAATTTTGACAAATAGGCCCATTTTGGGCTTATAGAAAATAGCCGGAAAAAAAAATGTGTGCTCAGTGGCAATGGGACTAGGACTAGCTTAAATCCCAATAAATATGCTACATTGGAAACCTTTAGCAATTGGATCTGGTATGGCTTTATGGTAGGAATCCAACTCTCAGAGGTGAAGAGCCCAACTTGTAGTTTTGCCGAACCCGAAGACACCCCAAGTGTTCAAAGCCCAACCTAAAGAAATCTCTAACCCTTTCTCAACTGGGCTTTACATCGCTTCTTCCATGGTTGGACTAAAGCTTCCCGCCACCTCTTTGATTTTCATGTCTAAACCCTAAAGTTAATATATAAAATGCAATTGGTTAGATACATAAGAGGTCATTATTGAACATGTTCTTTTAATTTCCAGGTAGGTTATATGATGACATTTTTATCTATAAAAAGTCATTATTTGAAAAAATGATCCTATTATAAATTTATGTTTTTTAATTTTTCCACTAGTTGGAAAAGTTATACATCTTGAAGATGAATGATACCATGAAAAAGAAATTTACCATAGGCCCACAACTTATATAAAAATGAAAACAGGGTCTAATACAATATGCACAGAGAATCTAAAAGTTCAGCTAAAGAGCCTACAATATTAAGGGGCTGTTTGGAAAATCTTTTTTAATAGATTTTTTTGGAAGAATTGATAGTCAAAAGAAGTAGGTGGCGTTAGATAACACTTTTCAGACCTTAAAATCTGAAAACATTGCTTTTCATGACATATGCATTCACAGACCTGAAACAGTAAGACCACGACCAAACACTTAAACATGCTTAAAAGCGTTTTAGACCTGGCTCAAAATCTAAAATGCCCATGAATAATTTCAAAAAAACATGGTATACCCCTGTTTTAAATCCAAAATTATCTCATTCGAGTTGTTTCTCATAAAGGGACTTGCTGCATTGCCCAACCACTGCACCAGGTATATTCATGGTCTCAAATCCTCACTTTCATCTTGTTTTTCTTATTCATTTTCGCAAATCTGAGCTTTCACTCTTCCTATATTTGATTTTATAGGGTTTTGATTTGCTTCTTCGTTATCTTTTCTTCAAAGAGAGCTCATATAGAATAATATCCGAATGTTCATGGACGACGAGGGGATGAGATCGCACCGAGCCTATTGGCGTCGATAGAGGATTCAATGGCATTGATCACGTCGTCCAGGCAGTGCTTGGAAGAGATGGCGAAGATCGTGGAGTGCCAGCGGCTGATGCTTCCGGTGTTCTACGAAGTGGATCCCTCCGATGTACGGCCCCTTTGAAGCTGACTTCTAGATGCTCGAGCAACGTTTTGGAACGGAAAAGGTCTTGGTATGGAGAGCAGCTATGACGAAACCTGGTGGAATTGTTGATTGGGATTCCAAAAACTGGTATTTCCTTAATTCATGTGATTCCTATCTCATATAGTAATTGCATTTTCTTGTTACTTTTCGTTCTGAGATAACTGAGAGAAACCCTTGTGTCGTTTTGTTTATAAGCATTCCTCCCCTTTCTAGCAAGATTTTAGAAAAATCCTGCTTTCTTGTTAATTTTAATAATTTAGTTTTTGATTTTTGATTTGTATTAATTATTAATTATTTTTTCATTGCTTCATGAAATTTATTACTATTTTCAATATTATTTCAATTTTTAATAGTTTATTCGTATTTTAACTATTATTTTGAACTCAACACATTATTTTTTATTTTTATATTTTTTATTCATATTAATTATTAAATATTTTATTTTTTATTCATATTAATTATTAAATATTTTATAAAGTAGTACAAATGGAACCCAAAATTACCGATTAGTCTATTCTAGGGGTAAAATAGTAACACCAAGAAATTTCATATGATGAAGGATTGATCCAACACAAACAACCTTATCTATTCAAATTTCAGAGACAAATAGTATCATTTCAAACTTTTCAGATTTATCAAATGCCACTAGTGGACTTTTACATAAAGATCTTAGTAGCCCACAGACTGTTTGGTCAGAAACACGCCTTTCCACGTGAAGACGAGAAACCTGATTTCTAGCTTCCCGAAATAAAATTGAATTGAGCTTCTTGCCTTTTTTTAGGATGGAGTCTTTTGGCGGCTAAATCTTCCTCCAACCAAATAGGAAAAGGTGAAGACTCGAATTGCTAAACTTCTAAACAGCCAATAGCCCACACGGAAGATGCGCCAAATAGGGCCTAAGTCTCTTAATAAACAAGGAAATGTCTTTATTTTGAAGATAGTTACACGCCCCCAAAAATGTGCTCATAGCCTCAACCCATTTGCATTCGGCTTGGGATTTTCTGAATCCAAGGTCAAAAGAGGACAGCCCTAGGGGTGTCAATTGGACTGGATTTGGTCCAACCCAATCCAGTCCAATGTGAATCCATTGTAAATGGACCAGGTCTAATCCAATCCAATGAATGTTTTGAACCAATTTGGACCAATTCAATTCAATGTCTAGAGATTGGTTTCAACTCAAACCTGGTCCATTGACACATATATTCTTATCTAGTTAGCTTATATCAATGGACCAGATATTGACTTAATCCAACATAAATTTGTTATGAACGGACCAAGTCCAATCCAATCTAATAAATATTTTGGACTGAATTGTTCCAATCCAATTTAATAAATATTTTGAACTGAATTGGTCCAATCTAATATGTCTTATTGATCCATCCAATCCAAAATAGATCCATTAACACCCTTAGACTGCCCTACCTTAAAAGTTAGGGTTTTATTTCTGAGATTTGGAATAAATAGGAACTTGAGTTGCACCCAGTTTTTCAAAACCTGGTTTGGACTTTGGAGGCTGAGCCGCCGTTCCATCTGGATTGATGAAAATTTCAAATAATAAAAAAACATAAACAAAACAAAATATGAATATACCCTTAACCCATTAAATACGTCAGATGGTTCAACCTGTTGATTGATGGTTCTTTGCCCAAATCAACAATTGATTGTGTTATGACGGGTTAGAGGTTCACTAGAACCACCCGGTCAGACCAACAACGGGTTGAAAACAAAGGAGCAAGTTGGGCTGGGTTATGTTGGTTGAGGTCAATCCTAACCCAATTCGAGCAGTTGAACTCCCAACCTTAACCATCCGGTTGGGTTTAGGTTGAGCTCGGGTTTGACCCAATTTATCTATGTTTTTTGCCAAATGTTCTTATTTCTTAGGGCCTCAAGTTATTTTAATTTTAACAATATTATCTGTAAAAGAGTATAGTTATCATGTTTTAGCCTTTTAGAAAAAAAACTAGTAATTAAGCATATACATTGCAAGTAAGAATTTTTTTCATATTAATTACTTGAGTTTTAGATATATCATAGTTAAGATAGAAATTAGAAATTAACAAAGTAACAATATGATTAAAAATAAACTTAAATGCTTGTAGTAAATGTGCTTGTTGTTGTTGATTAATTTTAAATTTTAAATTCAATTACCAATTGATGAGGGATAATTTTGCCTGACTTGTGATATGGTGACACGTGGAGTGACCCATTGATCTTGTGACATCTCAGCATCCTCAGACACCTCAGCAGTCCAAGTTACATTGGGCACCTTAGGTCACTTAGCTAAGACCGAGGCCCAAGCAGCTTGTCACACACCGACCTATCGAGATGCCACGTAGCCTTCTTCTAGAAGCGAGCTAGCTGTCTCCGATCTCCTCGGGATCACGTTGCACGCCAACGGATCTTACCGCTATCCTGCCCGAATCGGACGAACTTGGATAAGCCTTATTAGCTTGCATGGAGCCCATCTTCTGGTGCAGAACTGACTCTGGAGTATGCAGGCCAGTGATCTCGGACAAGTTTCGGGAGGTCCACGGCAGCTCGCCTATATAAGGGCATCGTTTTTAGCCTCGCAAGGTACGCGCGATTTAGCTCTCTCACTAGCATTCTAATCTCTCAGCTCTCTTAAAACCTCCAATGCTAAGTTAAGCATTGGGGTGCCCGCACCAGGTAAAGCACCCCGGGACCTCTGATCTACTTGTCTTGTAGTTCGACCTGGCCACGTAGCAGACTGGCGTCTGAGTTGCCTTCTAGCAGGGAGCAACTAGATCGTGCTACATCAACATTACCAATTATCATTAGTGTTGTTGTTGTTGTTGTTAAATTTTGTATTCCATTTATGTCATAAAAATAAATAAATTTTATTTTAACAATTATTTTTATTTAATATGAAGAATATATAACATTAGAAATGTTCCCAAAGGTTTTTGGCAAAATTCTATATTTTTTCATTTTTTGTGTTCTATCTTTTTTTTATAAATATTTATTATTCAATTATGACATCATGAGTTTCTTTGAAAAGTTGGATCATTGACCCACCATCTAGATAAGAAAATAGATTTCTTTTGGATCAGTTTTAAATTATATATTTCATCTATATTTTATAAATAATTTTTACTTATCACACTTAATTTTTATTTGATATAATTAATATATATATATATATATATATATATATATATAATTTCCCATATATTCTTTTGATTACTTGTACTTTTTTTTTTTAAATTTATTGTTTACCTATCATATCATCGATTAATCCATTTGACCCAAACCACTAAACCACCACCCAAAAAGGAAAATAGTTTGATTTCTAGGTTGACACTAAATTTTGTATTATATTTCTATCATTGATAAAATTATTTCTTATGTATAATTTTTATTTTTGCTCAATATAATGAATTTATAATATTAGAGATGTATCTAATATTTTATTTTTTATAAATATATAACATTAGATATGTGCTAAAATGTTCTCTATTTTTTTTTTGATTCTTTGTATTTTCTATTTATAAAAAAAATATTATTTGACTATGACATCATTTGATTTCTAGGTTGATTTTAAATTTGGCATTCTATTTTCATCATTAATAAAAATACTTTAATATTTCATACTTATTTTGGTTTAGTATAATGATAAACAATATTAGAGATATACCCAATTCTTTTTATTTTTTATATTATATATTTTACTTTTTTATTATTTAATTATGCCATTATTTACTATTAAAATTAATGTTGTGGATTTAATTAGTAGAATATAACGATGAGAAAAAATATATCCTAATGAAAGAATATACCTTAGATATGAGATTTAATGAGAGAGAATAGGAAAATAGTTTTATTTTCAATTGGTTTTAAATTTTACATTCCATTTTCATAATTAATAAAAACATTTCTTATTTCTCATAGTTATTATTGTTTAATATGTCAAATATATGATGTTAAAAATGTTTCCATTTTTTTTTTATTTTTTTTTACTTTTTCATTTGATCTATTTTTGATCTTATTATTTAATTATAGCAACATGGATTGACCCACTTGACTCAAAATGGTTTAATTTCTTAACACCACCTAGATGAAAACACTATTTTTTCAAGTAGATTTTAAAAAGTATAAGTTTTTATGTTATTGGAATTATTAATTTATTATGTATGGATTTAATTAATAGAATTTATTGATGAGAAGAAACAAAAATGCCCTAAATATAAGATTCAATAAGGTAAATGCAACTTAATATCTTAAATGTTGAATTTAATGAGAGGGAATTGAATGAATTGAATATCTTAAAGTTACCTCTTTTCAACTCATTTAATATCAATAACCAATTACCCTATTTGTCCCCTTTTTTATCATTAAATTTAAATATGGAGGGGGTAAATTTTGTCCTTAGTAAATTCTAGAAATATTCTTGAGGTTATTCATGCTTTTTAACATAGTATAGATATAGATTTGCCTTAATTCGGTTGGTCAAGGCCTCAACCTTAATCCTAACATGAACTTAAACCTGACCCAACCCAACCATTTTCTTTAGCCATTCGGGCCCAAGTTGTAGCCCTATTGAAAGCACTGGTTGCATCTTTAGATAGGCAAACTGATATCTACTCTACCTTGGGTTCTCGAATCCTTTACTAAAGCTTTCATATTTATGTACCAGTCAGTTTTAGATGCTAAGAAAACCACCTCCAGTGGTAATTAAAACAATTAGCCTAAAAAGAAGAAAAAGAAAAAGAAAAAGAAAATCGAAGATGTGGGTAAGGGGTGGATTGTCGAGCCAAATATTATCTAACTATTCAAGCTTGGCTCATCAATAAACCATCAGGCTTGAGCTTGGTTCGAGATAGAGACTTGAGTTTGAGTTTAGCTCGAGGCAAAAGCTCATAAGTTCGAACTCGACCATGAGCCAAAAAAATTATAAAAATAAAACAATATACATATAAAAATTATTTTTATTTGACATATAAAAAATTAAGAATTATACAAATTAGTTATTTTTATATATATAATATAATATTTTTATTATGTATAATATTTTCATATTTATTATGTATATATATATATATGTAAAAGTTTGATTAGGCTCGCAAGCCTTACGAATCAAAATTTTCATGACACAGCTCGAATAGCTCCTGAAAAGTTCAGATGATGTGGTGGCTACCCCTAGATGTGGGGCTGAAGGACCTGCATATGCAGAGGAGTTGTAGGAGGATAGAAAGCAGATACAAGAAAATTGGCTGGCGTGTAGAGGATTGATACCCAAAATTGTATGGGCCCTAATACTAGTTAAGACATAATAGAAACATGATTGAGAGATGGATCACAACCAATACACCAAGTGGTTTTACTATATTGATATGGACGTGAAAGGTTACGAAGGAAATTATGTATCAACTGTCAATTGGTCGATGTTCTTAGGGGTGCCAATTGGACTAGATTTGATCCAATCCAATACAGTCCAATGTGAGTCCATTATAAATGGATCAGGCCCAATCTAATCCATGAATATTTTGGACCAGTCTAATCTGTTCAATTTCGTTTTTATTTAGATTGATTTCAATCTAAATCTGATCCATTAACACCTATATTCTTATCTATATCAAAGGACCAGATATTGGCTTAATCCAATCTAATCCAATATAAATTTATTACGGATGGACTGGGTCCAATCCAATCTAATAAATATTTTAGACCGAATTGGTCCAATTCAATATGTCTTGTTGGTCTGTCCAATCCGTCTAAATTGACTTTAAACTGAAGGGGGTTTAATCCAAAACCGATCCATATACACCATTAGGTGCTCCCTTGCCAGGTGGGTTTCCAACTTTCCATTATTCTTTGTTGGAGAATGAAGATGGCTTCTATCCTCACTCCTGAGTCCTGAGCAGGTGTGTCCAGTGCCTCGAGATTGTCATTGGGTGCACTCTAGATGTCTAGTGGCCATAATCAAATGACCTTGCTGATTTCTGACATTTCATTTCTAGGCAATTTCTTAAATTCCTATCTCTCTCTCTGAGGTTGTCCGGTGGAACCTGATTCTCTGTAAATCCTGATCATACAACTAGCCTTCGAGGAATGAGGACCCTTTTATGGGTAAGGACTAAGGAGCGTCTTGAGTTTGGGTTTTGGGTGTCTCTTATTGCCACAAATACAATCCACTTCTTTATTGGACCAGCTTAAGAGTTAAAGATAAAGCAGTATTCAGTATATGCTCAGGGAGTTAAAATATATATATATATATATATATATCC